CACGGATCAGCTCCAGGCATGACGAAGCAGATATCGTCCTCTTTTGGAAGGCCAAACAAAGTAGTTCGCTTTCACAACGAAACACAGCGTCTCCATGGCATGGCGGCGGCGGCAACAACAATACTACACAGAGAATAAAAGTTACGCCTTCTTTCTTTGCGTGAACATTTGGGCGGCGTTATGCAAATCTTCCCACATCGTGACGTAGACATGTGGGGGCGTGTTAGAACGAGCCGTTTTAGGTAGGCGTGGTTGACTCTTTTAACTTTTATAAAGAATATCTATTTGGATTTGAGACTTTAGTCTTTGCAACTTTACAGATCTTCTTTATGCACCAAGAGCTTGTAACACTCCAAAGAGAAAGGAAAAATTTTAATCGCATCATATGACCCCTTTAAGCATGTTTCTGTATCAGATTTAGATCAAAGCAGAGAGCTTGATGTATCAGCCGGGAATGTTCAGCTTCAACTACAATGATTTTAAGAGACTTTTTCCTCATAAAATTCACAGACAAACAAATTTAACATTCATGATTTTGTTTGTTTTCTTAACTGTGGCTTGTTCAGTTCACCAGAGACAATAGTAAATGTTGGGAATGATTCCTTAATGTTTGGCTGAGCGATTGGAGCAGTGTGGTTCATTCAGAACTGAATCGAGAATTCTTTTGGAATTGTAGTTCTGCTCCCAAATTTGAATTGATGCTAAAAATAGGATGTTGATTTTAATTTGTGGCAATAGAATTTAAATGGAATGCTATTTTTTTTTTACATTTAAATTAATCTGTTTGACCCAAATAATTTACCCGATGTACCCCTTGGTTTTTTAAGTAGTGTTAATTTTCTGAAAAGATTATACGTTTTTGTTGATGTATGGCAAAATTAAAATATATTTTGTTGGTGGTGGTGTTTATTATTATTTTGATAGTGTAAATTACTTTCTTTTTTTTTTAAATGTCTAATAAATTGAAATTAACCAGTCATGTTTTGGCACAAAACATGCAGTGTTGTTATGGACTAATGAAATTCCTGTGAATTGAAAGGCAATTTTTTTATATTCAATATAACATTGATCTGGATGCTTTTTACAACACCAACAACACGCTAGCAGCATTCATCTAAGTGCTTGTATGCATGCATCATTTTGTGACTTTAAGATTAAATATTAATTATTAATTTCAGTAGGCTAACATCAATGGCACCTGACAAGCATTTCTGTGTATATGCGTGTTGCAGTTCTTGAGCAAGTCTAATGATTTGTGCTCAGTGTTGGTATGTGGATCTGTGTAATCTGAGTCTGAGCTCCATAAACACAGCAGAGCTTCAGATGAGATCACTCATCAATATATCCATATCACCGCTACTTTCAGCCCTCCCCTATCTCCTATTTGCTCTATCCCACTACTCCCTTCTTTCTTTCGCATGCTCTCTTTCTCCTCTTACGCTCACCTTGTCTCCCCCCTTTTTTTCCCTCCACGACTTCCTCTCTCTCTCGTCCTCTCCCACCTTGCTAACAATCTCTGCATTGTTAATCTCTAATCCCTCTCTCTCTCTCTGTCCAGGCTGGAGTCTCTTTGTGTTATCCAGGACTCTAGTGATAATAAGTTCACAGGCAGAAATCAAGATTTTTAACCTTTGTTTGTTGGAAAGTTATTAATTACTGAAAGACATTTGATTCAAAGGATGTTGATTTTAGGTTGTTAGTTTCAGAATTTAACTTTATAAGTATAATAATAATAATATACACTACTGTTCAAAAGATTGAGGTCATTAAGACTTTTTAAAATGTTTTTGAAAGAAGTCTCTTCTGCTCACCAAGGCTGCATT